TAACGACTAAACAACAACAACAAGGATGACTTAAGGTTGTGTCACTCATGTTGCAGGGGCAAGATGAAAGCAAGATCATAGGGACATAGAAAAAAGCAGTTTATAACTTTTCTTCATCACAAATACAAGGAATGTCCAGAGATTCAGGATTAATCAGAGCAGGCTGGATCTGTTCTGCTAAATTAAGCCTGAAAATGAACTAGAAACCAGCATAGATGATGAAGAACTGGCATATACTGTATGATTGTCCAGGTTTACTTAATAAATGCTCAGTTAATTCTTGAAATTGTTGATTCTGGACTCTTTTCAAAGACAGGCTCACCTATATTGCATCGGAGTAATCCAAGGAGGAGACTGTAGCTGAATTTACTGTACTGCAAATAAAAGCAAGGTTATTTTTGTCTGGAGAGGGTTGTGGGTAGCTTATCAGCCTAAGCTAATAAAAGTATTCTGACCTACAGAAGCTACATTTGTCTATTGTAAAAGATTGTTAAATATCTCCATACTGCAAATGGGCTATAGACAAGATGTATTTTATAAACCTCCTAGGTGTAACTTTTGCAATGATTGTCTTGAATATTCACATTCTAATTATCATAGACCAATACAGTTTGAGGGGAGGCCAGGGCCCATGTGAATACTCCCTTAGGGGCTCACCAGTTTCCTGTCCCACCTACATTTTTATATTGAGAAAAGTAACCTATGTTATTATTTTTTAAAGGAAGCAATGCAAAGAGTACCTACCTTTGTAGAAAAAGGGGAAGTGTAACCAGGGGAAAATGTGGGGAGCATCCTCCAAGGAGGAACTAAGTTTACATAGCATTCTGTTTAATGAGTGTTTGTAACTGGTCATACTGCTCAGATACTCAGTCATTTTGTGAATGGATAACCACCCCCAGCAGCCATTGCACAACAGAGTGCCTATCCCTAATTGTAATCTCAACATTCCAAATCTGCGAGGCATCCAAAAGGATTACAAAGCCTTGACTCCAAGATAATGCAATGCTGACATTTCAAAGATAACATCATTAACTTGAGCCTAATGAGCCATGCATTTCTTGACCTTTTCAATTTCACATTTGTTATGGACAGTGACGTTTGTTGTTAGTAGTTATCATTTCAAATTCCATGTGTTTCTTAAATCACATTATTCCTTAGATGCAAGCATAAAAGGATAAGATAAGTAACTATGGAAGATTTATTCCCCCTCCATGTATTATTTAGTTCAGCATATAGTAAGACTCTGATTTATTGTAAGTGTCCAATATCTGTAACTCTCATATTTCTTTTTTGTATCAAGCCTGAAATCTGGCTCATTTATCATTCAGATAAATAAAGCTTTTCCTTGATATAATTTATTGCATATTCTCAAATGGTTACTAATTAAATTATTGCATTTTAGTGGCCTAGCGTTTTAGTCAACCATAAAAAGATTTTATAAATACTGAAATATAGGGATTTTATGAATCAGTTAATACATTACTTGATAATGTAGTTTGATGTAAAATTTGTTATTTCCATTAAGAATTAGAGAGAAAGATAGTAGGACATAGAAACTAGGAATATTGTTTATTGCTATGCACACTGTTATGAAAGACAAGTGTACATACAGTTTTATAAAATAGAAATGTACTTCTTGAAAAATCCATGGTGGGAATATTCTAGATCCTTGAGAAAAAAGAAAACTGATCTGTTAGTTGGTTAAAAATGCATCAGCCTTCCTACAAATAAAGATTTTTAGAACTTGCATGTGTGAAAATGTGAATAATTTATTGTTTCTGTTATGCAAAAGGATACCAAAGGTGCTACTTTAACAGAAGATTGCTTTCTGAGATGTCAGTTCCACCTGCCCTTGGATTTGACGGCTGAGAATACATCAAATGCATCTACATGTAGACTTCCATAGCAGATTATGAAAGTAGGAAATGTTCATCTAAGCTAAAATGGGCAACACATGGCTTGCAGCCTACATGCACCCCTTTGTTGGGGCCTTCAGGATTTCAAAGATGGCACTATCAAAATTTAGCAGCAAAACAGGGAAAATCAGTGCTGTTGTTTCATGCTGATTTTCATTGGAAAGCTAAAGGAAATAAGTACAATAAACCTGAAACAGGCTCAACATTTCTGCAATAGTAATTTTGAAATTCCTCCCCCAAGCCTAAGATAGGGGAGAAATTTTAGTATTATGTCACTCCTTTGCCTTTTGAAGCCCTTAGCCCACCCACCATCCAAAATAGGACCCCTGTCCATAAAAAGAGTCCCCATTTCTAATTTAAATGATGCTGAATGGATTGGGGCTCTGCACATGTGCACAAACAAAGCAGACACCTTCAACCACATCCCCAGCAGACAATCCTACTAAAGTCCGCTCCTTTTGATGCTTCCTGCAACCTCTAGAGACGGCTGGATGGAGCCATTTCACACTGGAAGGAGGCACAATGGAATGGCTATTCCCCATGCTTTTCCTTCTCGTGCAAATGCTTGGTAGGTATAGATAAAAATGTTTTTTGGGAAGACTGTGCTCAAGAATAGTCCTCCCCATTAAAGGTTTGCTTCTCTCAACTCATTTCAGAAGAGGAGTGGTTGTGGGAAGAATTGCAGGAGGAGGAGAACTGACTTATGGGCTGATGGCAGTAACAGGAACTGACCATCTGCAGTGGGACACGCTGAAGGTCTCTGGAGGCTGCATGTGATCTGTGGAGTGCCTGTGTGTGATATAAGCCATAAAAAAGTATCCATGGGAAAAGGGATCAACCCCAAAGGTAAAAGAACACCTTGAGTGGTAGCTTTACACAAGTAGGTAAAGCCATTTTCCCAACTTCTCAGCCCTAGGAAGAAGGCAAAGGCACAATGGCAAACTGCTTCCGAAAATGCTGCCAAGAAAACTGCAGAGAGTCAAGACTGACTCAAAGGCACACATACACATCCCCCCCTCCCCCCCAGATAGATTACTGACCTATCAACTGAGA